TCAGTATCAATAAAATTCATCTTTGCAAAAGTTGAATATGAAGTGGCATTTAGATGTATTTACACATGTTAATGCAGCTTAGAGGGACATGGGATGCTTTAACTTGCAGTTACAAATGCATAAATAATGTTTTGATATTTTAAACATTAAATGTTGAATAGTGATTTCAATTATTTTAAAAATGAAAAGATACTGTAAATGTGAAATTAAATCCACCAGTAAGTGGCAGCAAGTCACTGTTAAGTGAGTCATTGCGAATGAACCAAATCATTTAAACGGTTGATTTTGCTCAGAGACGCAAAACAGCGCTGTGTTTGGAATGTTTTCTGTTGGCGAAATAACGTAAAAACAGCCAATATGGTGTCTAAAACTTAAGTCTCTTGATATTAACTTATTGTTTATTGAACTTGCAGCTTAGAGGGACATGGGATGCTTTAACTTGCAGTTACAAATGCATAAATAATGTTTTGATATTTTAAACATGAAATGTTGAATAGTGATATTTCAATTATTTTAAAAATGAAAAGATACTGTAAATGTGAAATTAAATCCACCAGTAAGTGGCAGCAAATCACTGTTAAGTGAGTCATTGCGAATGAACCAAATCATTTAAACGGTTGATTTTGCTCAGAGACGCAAAACAGCGCTGTGTTTGGAATGTTTTCTGTTGGCGAAATAACGTAAAAACAGCCAATATGGTGTCTAAAACTTAAGTCTCTTGATATTAACTTATTGTTTATTGAACTTATTGTTAAAAACATGCTGATTTTTTTTTTAAAGGGCACTCTTCGTGTGATATTAACTATATGAATTGATATAAATATATAAGTGGAGGCTGCCTACCTCACCCAGCGTGCACGTTTTTTCGGTGAAAATGAAGGGCTTGATGATTACATGGAGGCACGAGAGGGAATGCATTTGAAGAACGTGGATTTCCGCGAGCACATCCTTGCTTTTCCGGACCCAGCCAGACAGCCCTGGTATGCCAGGTGTAAAGTTTTCTGGCTGGCCTCAGCTCTGCTCTTGTCCTGGCCACTTCGGGTCGTTGCGGAGTATCGCACTGCGTATGTGCATTACCACGTAGAGAAACTGTTTGGCGATGCTGATGATAACAGTAGGGGTGATGTAACTGAGAATGGTGGGGGCAACGAGAATGGAAACGGGCCTGGACCTGGGACCGGGTCGAGCTATCGTGCCATTTCACGTGTCAATACAGTGGACATGACAGAGCTGGAGTGGCACATTCGCTGCAACCAGCAAATGGTGCCTAGCTACTCTGAGGCCCTGTTGATGGATCCCGGTTTGGGGGGTAACCAAGGTACCAACACTCCTCCAGCTGGGCAGGGGACTAACTCAATAGCGGGTGGCCCGACACTTCCAGTGGCCTTCGCTTCGGCGTACTTGCTCCAGAACTGTCCTCGTTGCCGGCGCACCACAAGCAGTGCTTCCTTGCCATCCCGGCTGAGAGGCCCTACTGCATCCCTGCTGAGTGGAACCATGGCTGGGATGAGAGCAAGTGGATCAGGAGGTGGTCCTGGAGGCCCGGGACGGCTGGTTCTGAGCAGGAGTGGCTTCTCATTGGGGCGTCTCCAGGCTCCTCGGCCGTCGTCCCTCCTCCACTCCCGAAGTGTCGGTGGAGGACTTGCGACAAGAGGAGAAGAGGCAAGTGGGGGAGGTGGTTTCTTAGGTTTGGGAGCTAGACAAGATGAAGAGAGCAGAAGAGTGCTGGGGGGAGAGGGGGATGAGGATGAGGAGGTAGAAAGAGAAGAAGAAGAAGAAGAAGGTGAGAGAGACGGGGAGGAAAGAGAGCAACAGGAGGAAGCAGAAGATGAGGAAGCAAGGGAAGGAGACAGACCTCCTACATATCAGGATGCCTTTTTCTTCCCTGTGTTGATTGTGCATGGAGAGGAGAGTTGCCATTCGGGTGAGGACATGTCCTGAAGAGCCCCCCATCAAAAATCGTATTGAGGTAGCAGGAAAAAAAAGACGATTAGAAAAGTCATGGCCAAATAGAATGTGAAGGAAGTAATTTGTGAATTGAGCTCCACTCCCCTTGGTCACTGTTGCTAACTCAGACAAACTTTACAGAATATACCATAGGAATGAACTAGGGATATACATACACAATGAGTTTTTACATTGTAATGCATGCATATAATTGAGTAAAAAAAAAAAAGTTGAAAACTGATGAGAACGCTGACCACGGAAAACTGAAAAGACAAATAATTTTTAAAAGATGAATCGATACGTATTTGGTTGAAGATCAGAAAAATAAAAATAAAGCTTGTATCAACTCTGTGTACTTTGTGCCACTATTTTAAGTGACCTGGCACCAATATTTTACCATAATATCTGTAAAATTGCATTTAAAGTATCCAATCTCACAGATCCACCAGAGACGTTTATTAAAAGTGCAAAAGTATGTCTGAGAAAACAACAAATGGCAACAGTTGCTAAGTGGGATTGGTCAGTAATTTTTTAAAGGCAGCACTTAAAGAATGGTCAGTTGGTTTAATTTAAGACTGATGCATAAATTGACCAAACAAAGACTGATGTTAATATAAACTTATCTATGCAATAAAGAAATAGCAAGAGAGTGTTTGTAAAAATTTAAGGGGATGCACAACAAAAGAAGAACCTTCATTAAAATGCATCTCCTCTGGTCATGGAGCAAAAGACAAGACTATTGTAAAGTCCTCCAAAGATCACGAAGAGAACAGAACAGTTCAGTTCATCAAGAGGAATGTTATTAATCTATACACATAGCCAACATATAGCTGTGTCCCACAAGTCAAAAAAAAAGTTTTGTTTTATTTAAAGAAAAGAGGAACCTCATTAACTTGCACAACATGTTGGGATTCAGCTTCTTGAAACATTTCATTGTAACTATTTGTTCTTTTTTTTCTCCAGAATTTCCCTCACTGCATCTACTGTTCTTATGAAATGGATCTTTGATAGAACTAATGGATTCCATTATTATTGCAAGGAATATAATCACATTAAGCTATTTTCTTGCAGCTTCATTGAGTGTTTTCTTTCTGCAGGCTAGCAAGTCCCAGTAACATGTTTTTGGTTCGCTTATCAGAAAACTAAAATTAAAGGTTTGTGGAGATGTTTCCTCAGCTGAAACTACAGCACTTAATCTTGCTTTTGTGAGGTGCTGTACTTCACATTTTTTGTTCGTCAATAATTGTTTATTTGTACATATCACCAATTTGCCTCATGAAGACCTTGACACAGAAGAGCACCTCACAGACATAAATAATGGTACAGCATGTTGCCCTCCAGTAAAGGTTTGTGGAGATGTTTCCTCAGCTGAAACTACAGCACTTAATCTTGCTTTTGTGAGGTGCTGTACTTCACATTTTTTGTTCGTCAATAATTGTTTATTTGTACATCATATCACCAATTTGCCTCATGAAGACCTTGACACAGAAGAGCACCTCACAGACATAAATAATGGTACAGCATGTTGCCCTCCATCGTAGCCTCTGTGCTCGTCTTTGATTGGCTGAAGTGTCATGTGAATAAATAGGCCAGTCGTAGATGAGACTGCTTAGTGTGCCAAGATACATCCATCTCCTGGTAACCGTGGATCCTCGTGAGACGTCTTAGTAGTGAGTTCATTGCAGCATACACATGTGAATGTTTAATAATTGGAAAATGTGTACAAACGCACATCTTCCTACTTGTGTTATGCTGTCAAGCTTCAAATATAATCTGCAAATACACTTTGGAAGCAGAAATGCACACGCTTAGTCCTATCATAAGCCTACAGCATGCAGACATGCTCTCTCATTTATCCTTTAGCAGGTCACATAGATGTTGCAACTGTACTGCAAATAATTTAAAACACCTTTGATTAAGAAAAAGAAAATGTTCTTGCAATACTATACTGTCAAAATGTTCTGTCACAACGTGAATGTTGATCTAACAGTGATGTGGTGTCTATTTAAATCACAATGAGAATGTAAAGTATGTCATCCGTGTTTGACAGTGCAGTGTTTCATCCATTCACCTCTTGTTGATACCCAGATGGTGGAAACCTGGATTCCCGGAACACTTGAATTTCTAGAAATCGGAATTGTTCAGTTGGATGCACAACTGTCTTCTGGAGTTTAGATGGATGACGAGAGTTTATTTTAAATTTTTTTTTTTGTTTAGTTGCAGAAGGTTCAGGCAGTCTTGAAATCAACTGTTTGGCACGTGTGTGTGTGTGTGTGTGTTTTCTTTTTCCAACTACCCTTTTGAGACTTACACAAGAGCCCTTTAATATTTAATGGTAGCATCAAAATCAAAAAGCAATACTTTCCTTTATGTGACAGTGACATTTCAGATGTAGCTAAATTCACTGAGATGTTTGCAGGATACAGAATGTTTCAATTGTTCTGTTTAAATAAACAGGAGCTTTACATTTGTCCCTCCCCAAAATTAGTCTACTAGGTTGATAGCGAGCAAAATATTGCTGTTATGCCTCAAACAGGTTTGCCTGAATTATGTTTTACAGTGAATTGGCTTGGAGTTATGAAAGGAGGTATTTAAGTGTGTGTGTTGGAGGGCAGGCTGAAAATAAGGATCGTCACAACTGATGATCGTGATAAACGTAATACTGATGGTACATAATAAACTGCTTGATTTGAAATCTTATTTGTGCTTTGACATTGCATCAATTTGGTGTCTATCATTTTGTAAACCTAACTGCTTATTTAATAATTTGTTGTGTAAAAATGTATTTTGACCATCTGATCAAACAATAAAAAAAAACATGCTTGTGATTCATTCAACACACTGCAACTGGAAGGTCAAGTCAAATGCATCTGACCTTCCCATTGCAGTGCTTCCCACAATTTGTAATGTTAATATGCTATCCAGACATGCCTACAGGTTTGTAAAAACTTTTCTCTTTTAGTCCTTATAGTCTACTTTTATTTACATTCAAAAGGTACACAAACTGTAAACAGAATCCTGATATGAAAATGCCTCTCAGCTGTCTTTCCCTGACTCTCTCGTAATCCTGTCGTATTTAATTTGAGGTCAAGTAGATTGAAGCCACTCTCGTTAGAGAAAATCACGGATTTAATAGTTACAGTCACGCTGAATCGCTCAGAGACAGCAAGCAGAAAAACTGCATGACCAACAAAGAAGGGTAAGTCTGGTATCTTATCTGATTAATGTTGAAAGTATTTTGCGTTTTTTGCTCACAATACCTTTTTTTAACGAAGTCATTGAGGTTGTTACGACTTAACCTGCTGTTGTTTTTATACGGTCTCGTGTTTTAATAGGAGTTAATGTTCGCAATCAGTGAGATGTGAATGATGTGAGAGGCTCGGTAAGCCTCTGTAAGCCGCTTGATACCGCTGAAGCCCGGCGGATCAAACCGAGTGCCACTGCTGTATAATAACGAGGCGTCATGACTGATGATTGACGCATTTTCACTTTGACCGAGTGTAAATACTCGACTCTGCTAGTATGCATTTAAAGAGTTAGTTCACACACAAATGAAAATTCTGTCATTAATTACTCACCCTCGTGTTGTTCCAAACCCGTGAGACCTTCGTTCGTCTTCGGAGCACAAATTAAAGGGGTCATATGATGCGATTTCAATTTTTCCTTTCTCTTTGGAGTGTTACAAGCTCTTGGTGCATAAAGAAGATCTGTAAAGTTGCAAAGACTAAAGTCTGAAATCCAAAGAGATATTCTTTATAAAAGTTCAGAGTCAGCCACGTCTACCTAAAACGGCTCGTTCTAACACGCCCCCACATGTCTACGTCACTATGTGGGAAGATTTGCATAACGCCGCCCAAATGTTCACGCAAAGAACTTTTATTCTGGCTGTAGTATTGTTGCTGCCGCCATGTCGAGACGCTGTGTGTTTCGTTGTGAAAGCGAAACTACTTTGTTTGGTTTTCCAAAAGAGGATGATATCCACTTCGTCATGCCTGGAGCTGATCCGTGCTGGTCGCTGCGGAAATACTTAACGCGTGTCCACAAGTGACGCAGTAGAGACAAAAATGCGGAATAAAGTCATTATTTTTGTTTTCTTTGCGCAAAAAAGTATTATCGTAGCTTCGTAACTTTACAGTTGAACCACTGATGTCACACGGACTACTTTGTCGATCATCTTGGTACTTTTCTGGACCTTGAACGTGGTAGTTACCTTGTTGTCTATGGGAGGGTCAGAGAGCCCTCAGATTTCATCAAAAATATCTTAAATTGTGTTCCGAAGATTAACGAAGGTCTTACGGGTTTCGAACAACACGAGGGTGAGTAATTAATGACAGAATTTTCAATTTTGGGTGAACTAACCCTTTAATGACAGTCCTTGGCAAGCATTATGTAAATCATCCATACTTTGGGACGCTGCTCGTGAGTTTCTGCCGGTTGCAGAAGGTGTAGAAAGCATTTGATCCACTGACACACAAAAGAGTCATCTATATTGTTGGTCAACATTAAGGAGTAGATTAGGCCTATGTTTAAAAATATTTAGTTTAGAACTACCAAGGTTCTGTGTTATCTTAAAGGTATAGTGCACCCAAAAATTATAATTGTCATTGTTTCCTCACCCTCCTGTTGTTCCAAACCTGAATGAGTTTCTTCTGTTGAACACACACACACACACAAAAGATATTTTGAAGAATGTGGATGATGTTTATGGTAGCCATTGACTTCCATAGCATTTTACCATGGAAGTCAATGGCTACCGCCAGTGCTACACTGCAAAAAATGCTTTTCTATCTTTGATCTTTGTGGTTCTTTGAGTGAGTTTTTGCTTGAAACAAGCAAAATAATCTGCCAATGGGGTAAGAAAAGAAATCTTATTTCACACAGAAAACAAGATTATTTTTCTTACCCCATTGGCAGATTATTTTGCTTGTTTCAAGCAAAAACATTTCAATTCGACTTGTTTTTTCTGAAAACAAGACAATAATTTTTACTTGTCTAGAAAATCCTTCTTGATTTAAGAATTTTTAGATATTTTGGCTGGAAACAAGACAAAAGATCTAAGCTAGAAAAGCATTTTTTGCAGTGTGTTTGGATTTTGCTACCTCCCATTAAAACAGTACCTAGGTAGTATAATTCGACAACAAAAAGTGCTACCTGTCACATTATGGTTTATTAACATCTACACATACCCCAACCCTAATCCTATCTTTACAGTAATGTAAATACAGTAAGTATGTGTTGTTTAGGGTTGTGGCCAGAAACCAACAATAAATTAAATTTTCTGCCTATTAGATTGTGTTTTATTAATGTCTACATCTACCCCAACCCTAAACCTACCCCTTACAGTAATGCAAATACAGTAATTATTGTTGTTCAGTGTGAGAAAATTGACGTAATATTGATGTGCGCGTGCGCAGGATTTTGCTACCTCCCATTAAAACAGTACCTAGGTAGTATAATTCGACAACAAAAAGTGCTACCTGTCACATTATGGTTTATTAACATCTACACATACCCCAACCCTAATCCTATCTTTACAGTAATGTAAATACAGTAAGTATGTGTTGTTTAGGGTTGTGGCCAGAAACCAACAATAAATTAAATTTTCTGCCTATTAGATTGTGTTTTATTAATGTCTACATCTACCCCAACCCTAAACCTACCCCTTACAGTAATGCAAATACAGTAATTATTGTTGTTCAGTGTGAGAAAATTGACGTAATATTGATGTGCGCGTGCGCAGTAAGACCTGTTAGGACAATCTGACGGGTAGGATAAAATGTCAGGACACCTGGCAACTGTTTGGTTATTCACATTCTTCAAAATATCTTGTGTTCAGCAGAAGAAATAAACTTTATTATTGCCTTCTTTATTCTATTTTAGATCAAATAAATACAGTCTTGGTCAGCATAAGATACATCTTTCAAAAGACATCAAAAAGTTGAAACCCCCTGTATTAGCAATTTCCTTCATTCCTCAGTTCACTTTCAGCCTTCACCCATGGCCATGCTCTCCTCTTTCTCTCTGCCAGATGATGATGAGATAGTAAAGGCACAGACCGATTCGGTGGTGTACAGTGTGGAGTCCATGCTGGCGGATGCTGTCCGAATACAAACGCAGTGCTGGCTGCGGCTGCAGTGGAGCTGCACGAGGAGACCCAGAGCCTGCGGGAAGAGTGTGAGGCCACACAGCTGGACATGGCCCGCCTCCGACGGACACTAGATGAGCTTCTGGACACAAAACCTGCCTACGAGGCCCGTGAGAGACAGACCCGAAAACTTAGCAAGCAGCTTTAAAGAAAGAGTACAATTTTAATGGACATGCAGATTCGAATCGTCAGAAAGCAAAGTATGAGAAAGAGTACAATGTAAAAAAGTTATTTATATAATTTAAGTATATAAATAAAGTTTTACTGAGAGCAATCAATTCAGTCCTCTAATAACTGTACAAGCTTTCCTGCACTATTTAATAGTGAATATCAAAAGAAAAGTTCACCTAAATATTAAAATTTACTCTGAGGCCATCCAAGATGTTTCATACAAATACGCAGCTTTTTGCTTTCCAAGATGTTAATTGATGGACTGGAGTTGTGTGGATTACTTGAATTTTTTTTATCAGCTTTTTTGATTCTTCATTTGACGGCACCCATTCACTGCAAAGGATCCATTGGTGAGCAAGAGATTTCTCGAGATGCTAAATTTCTCCAAATCTATTAATATGTAGTAACAAACTACAACATCTTGCCTCAAATTGAATGGAAAAGGGTGGCATTAAATTAAATCTTTCAAATTAAATTAAATCTTTAAATTAAAAATGTCAAAGAAGTCATCATGCACCTCTAATATATATAGACATTGTGAGACTATAAGCACTTGGTTGACAAATTTAATTGCGTTGAAATGTTCACACAGCCATAAACTCTGACATAGCGGGTTATACAACAGATTTAGTATTCATAAAAAATGTCAGTGTATAATCCATAACCAGCAGTTCTAAAACAATAGTAGTAAGTTAAATGAAAATGTACAAAAAGTTGTGGAAAAGAGGAGGAGATATGATTCGATGATGATGAAACATTTAGTGGACACTGGACCTGGACACTGTGTTGCCGGGATGGGCGGAAGGACACTGTGTTTCGGAGGACTTTAGTGCTGTGGGCAGCAGCACGGATTTGGCACTTCGCCTGTGTAAAGCGGATACCATCACAGGCTAAATTATGGATTTATGTCCCTGTCATCCCAAACACACACACACACACACTTCCACCTCCCGTGGCTGTGTGCAGGAAAAAGCCATTAAAAAATGACATCTCTACTGGGCACAAGATTAATAGCCAAACACTCTCGGAAAGACACTCTCAAGCAGTTTTGCTCATGTTAAGGACGCCAAGGACTATGAGTAGGAGAAATGTGAAATTAGGGGGGAAAAACACTTGTGGGAGATTCCTGGCCCAAAAAATAGGCACACGAGCACCGTCTAATGGGATTTATGGAGTAATTCATATAAACAGACAGCAGAGGGCGAAAAGTTGTACATTAACAAAGAGCAGGCTTAAGTTAAAAGTTACAGTACAGTGGTTATCTTGGTTTGACTCCAGGTCAGTTAGGTTCAGTTTAATGGTTGTTTTTCTACAAAAGTCTTTGAATTGACATATGTTCTCATGAAATGAGAGTGCCTTCTTTGAAGATTTGAGTATGAGCTCCTCAAGTTTATTTTTTGATATTGTTTTGCTGCTTATGAAAACACTGACAATGTTGTCAGATTTGATCTCTTTGCATAAAGCTGTGTCTCAATCAGTTCAGGTCACACCACCAATCTGGCAACCGCACACTATCACCTGCCAGGTCTGTGCTGCCAGCCACAGATCAGTAACCATGGCAACTAACCCTTGGTAAAAATGCGTATACTGGAGCTGCCAAAATGCTCTCGGCTCAGCTAGCCAGCAGTGTGATTGTCAATGCGAGCGTATGTACGTGTGAGTGAGTGTGTTCAAGCGGCACATAGACTGCTTTAGTGTGGAGCGACATAGATTAGCTGTATCTCTGTTCACTAAGAACATCCTGGCCGGTTGAAGAAGGGCTCCGTTTCAGAGGGGGTCGCTGATGGGTCCTCTCCTTCTGACCGGATTTCTGACCCGTTGTTACGCTGGAGCAGGACCACAACTGCTATGATCAACCAAAAGAAGAAATTCACCCATACTGAGAGAGAAAGAAAAAAAGTTTCTTAAAGATGGATGCTAGGGAGAAAAAAATAATCAATAAATAAATAAATAATTTTAGGACTTTGTAAATAAAGGCATTGCATAAAAAAGAATAACAAAACAAAATAATTTCATGATATGGAATTATCTTTTTTTTTATTGCCAAGTCTGAATTTTCACTCAAATAAAAAAAAAAAAAAATTGTAATTACAGACATTGCATAGTAAAATAATTATAATAATAATTAAAATAAATAATGAAATAAAATATAATCATTTCATAATATAGTATGATCTTGTTTTTTTTAATTGCCATGTATCAAATTTCATGTTTTAGATTTCGTTTTGTTTTTTGTACCTCTTATAAATTATATTAGAATGATTTCTGAAGGATCATGTAACACTAAAGTAATGACTGCTAAAAAAATCATTACAATAGAAAATTGTAAATTGTAATACTATGTTACAATGATAATAAGATTGTTTGTAGCTTTTTGACCAGTAGTGCATAAAATAAAAAAATAATGCTATAATATATATAAATATCCTTTTTTTCTAGCTAGTTGCCAAAACAACATTTCTCATTTTCAATTAGATTAACTTGATGTACTAAAATAACTCAAACTGAAATAAAATTACATTTAAAAACTATTTAAGATATGTAAAGTATGACATGTTTTACAAAAGATATAGCTAACAAAAACACCAAATTACTAAAACTTTAACGGAATTTAAAATAAAAATAGAAAATACTATGCTATATATAATGCTATTATAGTATCTCAATGTGTCTGTGATCAAGGTTTGTAGCTACAGTACCTCTGCACTGTGTAGTCTGGAGTAGAACTGACTCACATTTATAGGGCTCAACCAAGGCTTATTTTGTGCTTCTTCACACCTGCAAATGCACAAAACCTACAAGTCATTTATGGTTGTTATCACGGTCAATACTGTCTGCCTGCAATAATCCAAAGCTATTACAGAGGTCTCTCACTCACACTCACCTGGTTACATTTTTTGCTGTTTGAATCACCGAGTCACACAGTCTGTCTCGGCCGATTTTCAGGATGCATCCCGTCACCAAGAGCAAGAAGAGGAAGACTCCAGACAAGCCAAGAGTAACATTCATCCATAATTTCTCTCTGATATCAGACAACATTGCACAATGCTTGCATTACATTTTAGAAAAAAATATATTGTTGCTATTTATCTAAGTTTAAACTGCATTTATTTTTCTGAGTATTCAGAAGTTTTAATGAAAAACACTTCATCTGTTCATATGAACAAGGTTTTATACCCTGAGAGTACAAGGACTGCTGTAACATCTCTTACTGAATTAGAAATTAGTTTTTTCCCCTATATTTAATAATGGTGCATTGAGGGGATTCTTATCATTTTGTTTAGATCATAATGTATTAACAGCTTATTATTAAGATATATACACACTACCATTCAACTGTTTGGGGTCACCAAGAATTTTTATAGTTAATATTTTTGCTTACCAAGGCTGCATTTATTTGATTAAGCTACAGTAAAAACAGTAATACAGTGAAATATTATTACAATTTTCAATAAGTGTTTTCTATTTTAATATATTTTCTATTTTGATTTCCTTCAGAGATCATTCTAATGTGCTGATTTGGTGTTTAAAAACATTTCTTATTAATACCAAATCTAAAAACAGTTGTGCTGCTTAATTTTTTTAATTAATCTGAAATATAATTTTTTTTGTAACATTAAGTCATTTCCTTCACTTTTGATCAATTTAATGCATCGCTACTTAAATAAAAGTATACGTTTCTTTAAAAAAAAATCTTACTGACCCCAATGTCACATATCTAAATACTAACAACTTATTTTTATGAGTTTGCATCATGTCCGTTTAGATCTCCTCCTGCAATCCATTTATAGAGCATGGCATAACAGGAAACAGAAACGGAGGTGCCTTCAGATAACCTCTGTTCTCATTCCTAAACCAAACTCACTAGCACATGAATTATTGTATTCCTGGACATACCTTTTCACCTCTCTGTCAACACAGGCCATGTAGATCCAGTAGAGAGCGAGTGAAAAGCAGAAGACGACCACACACACTGAGATGGCTGACACAAAGTAACAAAGGGAAGGAGAACTGGATGAAAGCACAGCGATGGATGAGGAGTTCAGACGCACTGAACCGTACAGCATGCACTTCCCATCAAAACTGCCCTGTTTAAGTGAAAAAAGAAAGATAAAACTCTGTTATAAAAATGCATCTTATGTCCAAAGTAAACACTTCTCATGAATAAGGTACAACAAAGAGCTAAAGGGGGGGGCTTGCTTTTTTCAGTACACAATTTGTTTTTTTTTAAATCATAAGGAAAGCTAGAAAGGGTAATGACATTACTTCACATAATGCTAGGAAAAGTCCAAATTATGTTACTTAAAAATAAAGCATTGAATATCAGCTTAATAAATTGTCAAATTATGATGGTTAATTGAATGTTCAATACCTCAAAGTCAAAACGAAGGGGTGGAATACAGATGTTTGTGCATTTTAAACTAGATACGTTTCATGTTTATGTTAAATAATAGTTTATCTTGTATCTAAAAAACATGGGATTTGTGCCTCTAATGCTTTAAAAAAAAAGTACATCAAAGTATACTTTGTTTACAGTTTACTGTACTGCTTACACACATTTTCAAAACTTTACACACAAATCCAAGAATTGCACACACAAAATGCAAAATGCCCCACATCTCTTGCAAAATGAAGCACTGCATTCAAAATATCACAAACACATCTCAAAAGCAAACATTTGCAAACACCTTTGCCATAATATTATTCATTCCTGTTAGATTTCTGTATGTTGCATAGAGAAATGTGTGTTGTGTTTTGCAAAAAAAGTGTTTTATGAAATTGAAAACTGAAGTCAAAGGCCGAGAACTAGTGTATGTTTTGCAGATTTGGTGTGTGGTTCTAGTGTTTGAGTGTCAGGTTTCAGAAATTGTGTGACAAGTAAAGATTTAGTGTGTAAGCAGGTGAAAAAAACTGTAGTCTGCCAGTTCTACATAAAGACCATCATTCTTGGTGGACAATATCTGTACTGTTATTTTTCCCCAATACTTTATTCTTTTCCTTGAGCTAGCAGGATGAAACCTGACTGAGGCGCCTTCAAACACTCTGATTTTACACACTCTTTTTCTGCTCATCTGACTTTAATAAGCCAATTACTCTTGGGAGCAGATTCTCAGCTGGTCACAAGACAGAAAAAAGTGAAGAGAATGACAGAAGTGGAAGCATTAGTTTAGTTGCTTCTCCTGTCACTCTTCAAGTTTCTCTTCTCTTCCGGGTTTTACTTTTTACTTCTAATCTACAGCATGGATAGATACACTCGATGCTTTTAACACATTTTTAAAAACACTCCTAGTTTTACTTTCTCCAGTCACATGCAGTGTTGCCAACTTAGCACTTTCGTTGCTAAATTGAGCAACTTTTCAGACTACCCTAGCAACTTTTTCTTCCAAAAGCACCTAGCAACAAATTTAGCTATTTATAAAATGTATTTGTCAGCTTTTAGCAACTTGGGTTAAGTGACTCAAATGATAAAAAGCACACGTTTTACGTCTAACTTATACAAAAAGAGGAAACCAAAGATGCCTAGAAGTACACACATCACATGAATTAAATTCGAATTGCTATTTGCAACTCTTCAATTTAATTGAATAATTGTTCCTTTATGATACACAATGGTAGTAGCGTGTACCTGCGTTTGTTGATCAGTTAGTACACTGTAAGAAAAATATGTACAAATGGAAAAGGTATAGTAATTCACAAACCCAGGACATTATCCGTTGTAACCCAAAAACACAAAATACAATGCGTAATTTAAAATGCAGGTAAAAAAAAAAACCTGTGAAAAATCAATACGGAAAATTCCTTCATATTAACATTGTAGATTGTGCCCTATTTTTACAGACTTTTCTTAGACTACTACTACACTGCTTAAAAGTATAATTGTTCAGAATGTGTAGTTTTTCTAGTTTACTAGCTAATAAAAACAAAAACTTAAAATTGCAATCGTTAAAAAATGTGAACGTTTTCAATAATTCAATGGTTTTTTAAATATTTATATTTTAATATTATATTATGCATTTATATGATTTTACAAAAATCTAAATTAACATATATATATATACTTTTTTTTTTGTTGAGATTTGATGTAGTGACAATTTTGCGTCGTGATTACGTAATGACATCATCACGCAATGACATCACAATGTGATTTAGCAACTTTTAGCAACAAATTGACCTTCGTTTAGC